CAATCCAGAGAGGAGCTGAAAGTAAAAATAGCAGCTGCAGTTGAAAAGAAAAATTAAGCACAGGCCAGGAGAGATCTGTTAAATCCTGGCTGGAGCTGAACACTGCTTCATTCCTGCACTGACTGCCACGATGTCTCATTATATATATACACACATACGTATACACACTTCCATATGTTTTGTGTACACACTAGGCATTTTGTTTTGCAAAACACTTCGGAGAAAGGTGAAATATAAACACAAGGTATCTGCAGATAAATGGGCCAGAGATGGAAGGAAAATGAGAACTGTGTATAAATACACAGCAGTTACCTAAGAAATTGAGGCTCTGAGCATATTGTATGCAAACTTTGCAGCTGTGACGTTTGATTATTGAGAAACCAGAGTGACTCAGTGCTGGTCTAGTATTTCCGCAGATTTTAGCAATAAAATAAATGCCACAGTGCTTCCAGGTAAGAGCTCAGGCTCTCAAGTTCATGTTTCTACCGCTCCTATCATCTAAGCAGGGCAGGATACTCATACTCTGCTCTTCCTCCCGTGTTTATGGCATCCAAGAGCATTAATCTCCGGCTCTTGGCAGGCGTATGGACTGATTAAAAACATGCAAAATTTACACAAAGTGTTCTTGTGACCTGGGAGTTCAAAACAGTACTTCAAGTATTTCCCAACTCCCCTTTGAAAAAGCAGGAACAGACCAGGCAGAAAGTTCCCCTGAAGATACTGCAGCCTCGAGGGAAGGGAAAAGTAGCAGAGCAGTGCCAGCAGGGTTACTGAAACCATAAACAGCTCAAAATGTATTGTCTAGGAGAAAGCACGAACGGAACCAAACATCTAGCAGGGCAGCGCTTCGGGTCCTCATAAGCATGCAGGGGTATTTACATCAATTGACAAAAGCATGAGGAGCAGCAGCATTCACCAGCTTCAGAAAGCAACTGGGTATTTTTGAGGAGCTGGTTGTGGTCTAACAAGCTGCTCGAGTTCACAAGGTCTGTTTCGACCCCGAAGATCTGGATATTTAGGGATCATCTCAATGGGAGCACTCAAGCCCAGGGTCAAGATGACAGCCCTACATCTGGCTTCATTTAGATTCGTGTTCTTCTAGGACGTGCGTTTCCCTTTTTACTGTATGTTGTATAGCTCTTGTTAGGAAAAAATCATCCTGCACCAATATGGGATCTGTCTGAACGCACGGCGAAGAGCAAGCACGGAAGAGGCAGTGCCAGAAATACTGGAAAGGTACTGCAGGACATGACAAAACACTGGAAACTCTCCCAGGAGCTGCTCTTTTCACCTAGATCCCAGGATGGTTTAGGTCTTTAAGCAGAGGCATCATCTCCGTTGTCACGAGAGCACCGTCCCTGGGGTGGTGTCATCTAACAGACTTCAGCAATAATTACCAACCTGAGAAGGGCAGGAGATAAATGCCACTCATATTTGAGAGGGGAGCTGCGGGTGGGATGAGGGAGCAAAGATTTGGCAGGAGAAGAGCAACCACGCTGAGTGAAGGCTTCTGCTAGAGACCCTTGAAGGTGAAGAGGACCACCACTCACTTAGGGTTTAAGAAAAGGTCCACATGTTTCCAGATGACAAATCTGGAACCTACTTCAAAGACCTTTTCTGCTCAGCTTTGTCAGTCGCACTTTGGAAAAGAACACCAAGTTTTCCTGTACCTTACACTCAGAGCCATGCTGGGATAAAAGCAATTTGAACAGATTATAAAGCAACTATTAGCAGTCATTTTTCAGAAGTGGCTTTCTAGAACGCACGGATATGCTTCAAGTCATCGTGTTATTTGCTGCAAAAAGCCCATGCCATGTTCAAGACTGCATTAAAATTTTTTTAAGATGGAAAGAAAATTTTAGCCTACAGTATTAGTGGAACAAGGAAAGCTGCAAGGACAGTATTTTGGCTTTAAGCTTCAACATAAAAGTGTAATTTATTGAAGGAAAAGAAACTGCTGGATTCTATACTATACACAAGCCAGTGACTGACACAGAGAATTTGAACTCTGCGTGTCTTCACCGCAGTGGGAGCCGTGCAGTGCTGAGAACAGAGGGGCTGCAAACAAGCTACATGTGTGCTCTACGTGACCTTCCATCCATTTACAGGTCCTACCATCTCTGAAATCCTTCACTTCCACCCCTTTACAGATCACAGATTGTCACAGCAGATTTCTTCCCAGCTAATTCCTACCCTTGTGTTATCCAGAGCTCAAGCTGGCTGAGGACTGCTGGGTTAGGACACCCGTGCTCACTGGAACAGGCAGATTTGGGAGAGAATAGGATCTCATTTACAAGCTTGTGAAGGCTCCCAGTTCAGCTGGGACGGAGGCTTGCTCCAGAGCTATCTGTAGTGCCAAACCCAGCGGTATCAGGCACGGCACATTGAGTCTGCCCCCAACAGCGGCGGTGCAGAGACCAGGCTGGCTCAGAGGAAGGGACCGAGACATCACTCAGCCCTGGCTGCCCAGATAAGCTGGACTGGGGCAGCAGAAATGGGAACCAGACAAAGAAAAACAAACCTCTTCCTGCAGCCGGCTGGGAGCTCCCCTGGGTCCTGGTGCTCCTCTGGGCGCTTCCACTCTCCAGCTCTTCCCTCCCCGCAGCAGGGCTGAGCCCTGCTTTGCTAAGCCAGCTCTCGTCTGGCATCGACTGGTTATTCAACCTGAAACCTCAGCTGCACGCCACTTCGCCCAGGACGTAACCTGCGCTCCCAGCAGACAGCAAGGCAGACCCTGGAGCAAGAGCCAGCCTTTGGGGGAGCTCAGCGAGACAAGGGGGGGTTTTCAGCTACTCAACAGACTCGTGGGGCAGGGGAAGCATGCTAGAGGTCTGGTGAGTCCAGAATAAGACAGTCGTAACACAGAGGGGTATAAGCAAGCTGATGGAGAGAAAACTGCTGTATTAAAAGGAAGATGGTAAAAGCAGTATTAAAAGGGAGAAAGCAATGTGAGCAGAAAATAACACCCTCCACACCCACCCACCACCCTCCCCAAGTTCACACGGAGAAAGGCCATCCTCGTGGTGTCAGTTATAGAATCACAGAATGGTTTGGGTTGGAAGGGACCTCAAAGACCATCCAGTTCCAACCCCCCTGCCATGGACAGGGACACCCTCCACTACACCAGGTTGCCCAAAGCCCCATCCAACCTGGCCTTGAACACTTCCAGGGATGGGGCAGCCACAGCTTCTCTGGGCAACCTGTGCCAGTGTTTCACCACGCTCATTGTAAAAAATTTCTTCCTTGTATCTATCTAATGGAAATCTGTCCTCTTTCAGTTTAAAGCCACTGAAAATACAGTTCTGAAAACACAGCTGGGCCAACTCTGATCCCAGGTTGCCTTTGACTCCCGTCTATCCCGACCAGCACTAAACAGCCTCCAAGCCAAACCACCAAAAGGTCAAACCTACCACCTTCCATGCAACTAACCAGAGCTTAAATCAACAGCAATACAAATACACAAGAGCCCCGTTGATGTTTAGCTGCATTAGCTTCACAGGCTACTGAAAATAAAGTTTGTTTTAGCTTTAAGACAACAACCTTGATTTCTGATACACACAGGAAGAACATCAGGAGAGAGAAAAATAATCATGAGTAGACTAGCACCAACACAACCACAAAGAAACCCAGGTTTATATGCTTTCTGAGAGTGGTCTGCAGCCAGCTCACGTTTAAGATTGCCAACACGACGGTACCCTGATCTGCATCAGACTGTGGCACTTGAGAAGCGGCGAGGGGAAAATGACTGGCACCAAACAACACACCGTGCGTTTCGTAAGCAGCCTCTAACCTAAGAGGTTTGCAGTGAGTGTCAGAGCTGACTCAAGAGGAAGGAGAAAAGGGTTTGCACAGCTGCAGCAACACTGCGTTGTTACTCAGCCGCGTGCACGTTTCTGTGGTTCAGTTAAAGGTTTCAACAGAAAAAAAGAAAGGTAAAGGACGGCGTAAACACAGCATTGGTCTTTCCCAAAAGGCACGGTTTGTATTTGGAAGTAGACAGATTATCTCTCCCTTCAGAGAGATCTTAAATAGAAGGCTCTCAGCCTAAGAGTCTATTTTAAGAAAGCAGCCAATACTTATCAACTCCAAATCGGGATGTTGATATTGGAAGGGACCCATCTCATCCAACTCACAGTCACGTTTCCACACCAGCTCTCCTCAGGCTGTTTTCTCCATTCTTTAGAGTCCTCCAGTGGCTTAAGCCACAAGCACACCCTTCTGACAGAGGAGCACCATGTCACTGAGTTACCAGCACTTATTTCACAAGCCAGAAGAGAGATGTTGAAACTTCATGCATCTGCTCCAGTTTTTCAAGCAATATTGGCTATTTTATTTAGAGCTTAAGCGACTGGAGTAAAGTCAGGTACCAGAAGACATCTGAGTTGCATCACCGTTACCCAAGAACAAAGATAGGATGGATACAGTCTAAAGAACATTTCCTTATCAAGCATCCTATTTGCTCTTGAAGGTTGAACAAGCTGAACCAGCCTAGCCAGCTGCAATTTTTCTGGTGATAGGTTCCTGCTTCTATGCTCTTCCACATATGCATCACCTAGTCCAAAAGGACAGAGGCTTCAGCTCCTACCTTCACTTCCATCCACTTTTGGGCAAGAGGTCCCAAAAGCTGAGTTCCCCCCAAGATTATAAACATGCCCTGTGGCCTTTGCTCTCCATACCAAATGAGTCATTTTATACTAACAGCCTCCTGTGGTATCCTGCACCTTACCCATGAACGGATGTGTTATTAAAAAAAGCCCACGGTCCAGAGACTCAGTTCACCAACACACAAACGTGTGACCAAATCACATTTCCAGCTCCAAAAGACCAAACTTCCTCTCTGCTTGGCACGTGGTATCTGGAGGTCTACAGTAAAATCATTCTGCAGACTTAACGATGGCACTGAGGGTTGGCAGAACTTCCCCTGAAACAATGCTGCAAGCAAGAACATCTCTCCTGCACAAACAGTAAAACGATTTTGACTGAAAGTGATGATTGGTTACCTATAGACGGGGATTTGAAAGGGTATTTATCAGGAAGGTCGACTCTAACTTTCCATACTCCACCTTCATACGGTGCTGCAATGAAAGAAACGCAGGTATTAGACACTTCATAACTCAGGAGAGAATAAATAGAACTACAGCATTAAGCAAAGCCCATCTTTGAAAGAATACTTAGTTCCATCAGGGGGTAAGATTTCATATCAAACCTCCTACTGTAAAAGCCTTTTTCCTGTGCTGCCTGACAAGAAATACGTGATTTTAACCGATACTGCAGATGATCTCGGCACAAAGACACGAGAGCCTTATTCAAAACCGAGACTTTAGAATAATCTACTTACCTTTAGAGATGTTACTAAATTAAGGCACGCTGGAAACCTGACTTGTGATCTCGTCACTAGGAAAGCCATCTTAATTACAAACTCGGCAAGAATTCAGGTGACTGATGCAAAACTTACGAGTCAGGTCTAGAAAAGCTAAGGATCAACAAAAGCGGTGCTGGAAGCCATAGCAGAGGGCTTAGTTGTCCGAAGGCAGTATCCAGCTCTGCTCAGCTCCAAGAGAGGTGGCTCATCTGTGTTAATCCTCCCAGTTGTATTCCTCACCACCCTTGAGAGAGCAGCCTTCAAACACGGCTACCCTTTGATTTCTCACCCCCACTTAGATTTGCTTCTCTCTTCTTCCAATCCAGAAGAACACGTTCCCCACCGCGAGCCATTAGTTCATTTTTAATAGGAGGACTGGGTCATATACTTACTTCCTTGTGGTCCGTAAAACTTCACAACAAATTCATTGAGTCCTCCTAAGATTGTGACTTCGTGTTTGCTCTCAATACTGACACATCAAGTAAAGGAAAACATTTAGTCCAGGGAAACAAAACCCATTTACTCAGATACAGGTAACTTGCTAGAAACCTGTCAAACCAAATAGCTGAACCCAAATACTCAAAATATCCTACAACATGCAATTTAAGCCTCTTGACACATCTAAGTGACCACATCACCACAATGACGTTAGTAAAAGCCAATTCTACACACCGAAGAATCCCTCCTCCTGCACTGCGCAATCTTGAGACGATGCCTCCCGTCCCCTCAGGGCTGCTTAGTGTCTTCCATCTACTTGAGAAGCTCAACATGAGCCGGCGCTGTGCGCTGGCAGCCCAGAAAGCCAACCGTGTCCTGGGCTGTATCAAAAGGCGCGTGGCCAGCAGGTCGAGGGAAGTGATTCTGCCCCTCTGCTCTGCTCTCCTGAGACCCCACCTGGAATACTGTGTTCAGCTCTGGAGTCCCCAACACAACAAGGACATGGAGCTGCTGGAGCGAGTCCAGAGGAGGCCACGGAGATGATCCGAGGGCTGGAGCACCTCTGCTGTGGAGACAGGCTGAGACAGTTGGGGCTGTTCAGCCTGGAGAAGAGAAGGCTCCGGAGTGATCTTATAGCAGCTTTCCAGTACCTAAAGGGGGCCTACAGGAAAGCTGGAGAGGGACTTTTTACAAGGGTGTGTAGTGATAGGACAAGGGGCAATGATTTAAACTGAAAGAGGGCAGATTTAGGTTAGATATAAGAAAGAAATTTTTCACTCTGAGAGTGCTGAGGCAGTGGAACAGGTTGCCCAGAGAAGTTGTGGATGCCCCATCCCTGGCAGTGTTCAAGGCCAGGTCGGACGAGGCTTTGGGCAACCTGGTGTAGTGGAGGGTGTCCCTGCCCATGGCAGGGGGGTTGGAACTGGATGATCTTTAAGGTCCCTTCCAACCCTAACCATTCTATGATTCTACTTCGGCAGAGCGTTAGGCTCCAATTTAAGAAAACACGAGTGCCTTTCAGCAACGTATTTGGAAACATAATCAGGCTGTGGAGGGGAGCTAAAAATCTAGAACCAGCAACAGCTCCAAAGCCTCACCGCACACAGGCACGAACCCCAGGGCCAAGGCTCAGAGGTGAGGCCAGGACTCAGAGAGACCTCCCTCCTTTCCAGCGCTCAGGAGATGAGCCACAAAGCAGAAAGTCACCCTTGCCAACCACTCACACTGAACGCTTACTCTCCTGCCCAGATGAGAGGAGCAGAACTCGCCCAGTCCCTCTTCTGAGAAATGCCAGAGCTGATGAATTCAGTTCTCCTTGGCTGCCTTCGGCGCTGTCAGGTGGCCTCCCACAGCTACCACGCAAATTACGGCAATCTCACGTCAATTTGACTTGCAAGACCAAAAAACTCCACGTCTTCAGAGAGATGGCAGAAGGGCGAGATTATGAGGCACTGCTACAGTGTGAAAAGAACAACTGTATTTCTCAACACTTAAAGGAAAGAATCCGAGTGCCAGCACTTTGGGAATGAAGAGAACATGAACAGAAAGGCAAGAAATCTTCATTTCAAGTAAGGCTCAGTTAAGACAATTAATGGTGATGTCTCAGCACCCGAGCTTGCTGAAGAATTCTGCTATAAATCAGGATTAATGGATTGTGAATAATATCCTACAGCAATTACCTTTAATCAATAATCTTAATATGAATTACGAGGGAAGCATCAGGGAAAAAAACACAGCAGAAGAAAAATCAAAGGTTTGTTCCCACCTGCACTCCAAGCTGTGCTTCAGCTCTGCACCACAGAGGGAAGGGGGCAACAGCACAGGATATCTAATAAAAGATCCTTAACACCACAGCAGCAAGCTTGGCAGAAACACTCAAGCTAAGAGGAACCGAAGCCAGGTCCCCTTTTACAACCAAGATTTTTCCCTCTGATGCAAAAGGTTTTCTGCTTTCCAGGCACAAAATTTGCCCAGGATGCTCTCCGCTCTGCAGTGGGTTACGCTGACCCCCTTGCACCTTCATGGCACTCGGCAAACAGGCACCCACGCACCTGGGCACACACATACGCGCCCACTTAAATATTCCTGACCCATCAGGAATGTAACTGCCTGGGACCTACCACCAGGAACAATTAATTCTCAGCTCAGACCTATCCCCGCTCTGACATTACGATCCTTGAAGTCTGCTTGAAGCGTGCCACAAACTAAGACAAGAGGCTCCTGTACCCAGAAGTGCCGATTCAATCCCGGCAGCCTGTGCTCATACGCAGGAGATCCAAGTCCCATCTGTGGGGTCCGTCAAGATTTATTACAGTTCCTCAAATACAATGACTCCCAGATTGTACAGAGTTTTCCCCACAGTGCCAACTCCAAAAGAGTTTGGAGGTAATACCCTTCTTCCCCTCGTTCTCATGGGGAGGGAGAAAAGTTTACGGCAGTTTGTCTTGGCTCAAGAGTTTTCTTGGTTCAGCATAAGCTGCTCTGCCCTACGGTTAAAGCAGCAAGCAGCTTGTTGCACCTGGCCGTCACCCAAGAGCAGCTCGCAAAGGGCAGATCGATGCCTTATTGCCCCCAGTGCAAGTGATTTCTCCACTAAAAGCCAACGGGCATCTCCAGGAAAAGCTACATTCCCTACTCCAAGTTTGCAGAGAGTAGCTCAGCACCGAAGCACTGCAGACCTGATGTTATGGGACACTTGTCACCAGATCTTTTCTCGTCACCCAGTACCGTGACAACAAGTTTTAAATACAGGCTCGATTGAGTTTAAGTTCCTTCCAAAAGGTCCACACTCATCTAACTGGTACATGTTCCACGTTCGGAAACGGGCTCTCGCACAAACCCACCGCGTATGACGATGCCCAGGAGCGAAACGTTTAATACTGAAGTATGTTAACAGCAGCTTCGTGGATCAGGTTAAATACAAATGGTTTCACTTAGGACTAGATCAAGTACCACTTCATAAAAACCAGCTCTCCCAGCCTGATCTTCAGAGCGAGCTCCTGAGCAGCTGCAGCTTATGGCTCTCCAAGTTATTACCAGCCATAAATTAAAGCAGAGTTTTCTGCACTCAGACTAACTCCTAGTGTTCCCAAGTCCAAAAAACCGCTAGTGAACAATGCAGTGCCATATTTGATTATTCTCCCTGTTGTGGCAAAACCCTAAAATTCCTACAAAAAAAACCCCAGCAAGTGAGTTAGGATCACAAAAGGGATATGTATTGGGATGCAGATGCCAGATTTGGGAACAACCGGATTCTCTATTAACATGATACAAGAGTTTTGAGGACAGACTGAAAACAAAGTGAATTTCAGCAATAAAGCCCTTGTATCAACACAGGGGAAAGCTCTGGAAACGCATTAGCAGAACTTAGGAAGCTGGGGAAGCCCTCTTTTGTGAGCACGAGGTGAATTCCAGGTGAGCTCCCACTTTCTAACACAAATGGGGTGAACCATCTTCCCTTTCTCCTCTCCATGACATTTTCTCTAAAGGTAGAGATGCCCAGGAATTTGAAATCTCAAAATCCCACTAACAACGTGATTGAGAGTATTAACAGGAGAAGTGCATGGAGCAGTTAAAGAAAGAAGAACATTCACACCCTATGAGCTCTTCCCATCTCCAGGAAGTCTTCAGAAAAGGAAACGAGGAAAAGGAACAAGATGGTTCCCAGGAAGACTGGAAACCCGAGGCAGACCTCAAGGCTTCTCCATCCCACAAAGTCATGCCAGGGAACCCTCTAGCAGCACCAGGAAAAATCATGGGGGAAGACCAGAAGGGACTTGACACGTTCAGAGGACTGTCCGGATCACGTTCCCGGAGAAACCTCCACCACAGCTCATGGTAATGCACCTCAGAGTAAAGAACGCAGGCTCTGACCCAACTATCTTCTCAACTCAGACAGATGATTTTTTCCATAAGGCAAGTGTTGCAACTAAATCCCAAAGGAACCCCATTCCAAACACATCAGCAATTAATCAGCTGTCTCAGATCCAAAAAGATTGCCCCTTTGGAGACCCACAAGATTTAAGGAACCCAGTTGTGCCCAGAGCACAACGAACCTCCCCTCCTGCATTCAGAGCTAGATGGGGCCTGGTGCTGGATCCTGCAGCAAGCCCAGGTAGCTCCCAGGAAGCAGAAAAGCTCCAGGTCTTCAGCAAACTGAGTACAGCTTCAGGAAGCCCCAGGAAAAGAGGATCAAGAATTTGGAGCAAGATTTCCACAGTGAAGGTGACCAGACTGTTCACAGCATCTCCTGCGTGTTTCTCCCAGGATAGCTATGTTCACATCCAGGATTCCCATCCACCTCTTCCATCGGCTACTGAGGTAAAACTGTGCGGAAAACGCTCCTGCGAGCGCTCAGGACTGCAAACACACAGTCAGCATTCACAGGGAAGACCCCAAACCCCTCACCTTGTTTTAGTTTACTTTGTCCAGATGAATTCCTCTATGCCCAAGCTCTCTGTCACTGCACTCTAATATTCAGATTTGCAGGAGAACGAGCAGGTAACGGATAAAGACTTCGACGTTCCTGATTCTAGTGGCAATCCAGTGGTTCATACTGGTACGAGCAGTCTGCCTTGTTTCCACAGCACAGCACAAGGCTACACCGTGTGTATACGGGGTCAAGATGACAGAGCTACAAAACCAGCCTGTAACACATCACATGTGCTAAAATGTTTAACAAAAACACAACCAAATCCCTTTTCAAGGCACTCCGCTTGCTCCTACTAGTCTAGGTGACTTAACAGCCTTCCTGCTTTTGTCTCTTTATCATCTCAGTATACTAATTTGACTTTGTGTCAAATATAGCCAGCATAAAAGTCAAGAGAAAAAAGCAAAATCCAGATACGAGTCGGGTTTCAAACAGATAAGTTCAAAAGCTTTACCTTAAGACCACAGAAACTAGAAAAGAGTCCTGAGGACCTGAAGATAAATTATCTTAGTCCCAAAACTATTAAGAGAATTTTAATGACAGTTAAGTATCAAAAATATTTAGATGATGATCTGGAAAGCAAGCTTATTTTCAAATATCAG